AAGTTTGCTCATTCATTCGGGGTCGGGTGATTTTCTTCAATTGCACAACTAATTCGCCTGGTCAGGATAAAGTCTTAATTGTTAGCATCACTCTGAGCTAAGTGATTCAAGGCAACCCCTATCAAAATTCTAAAGGGGAATTTTGCACAGAAATGAAAAAAACTGAACCTAACTTTCATATGGAACCAAAAGGTTCCAGAATAATCGAATAAATATTAAGCAAAAAGAACACAGCTCAAGACCTCACACTGTCTGATTTCAAAATATCCTACAGAGCTACGGCAACCGAAGTATCACGATATTAGCACTGAAAACAGGCACAGACCAATAAGACAGAGAGCACAGAAATAGAGCTGCCCTTCTACTGTCCATTCATTCAGTGAAGGTACAAAGAACAGGCAATGGACAAAGGATAATCATTCTGATAAACAAGGGTTAAAAAAATACTTGATAATCACCAGCAAGAGAATGAAATTAAAATTAGAATCACATCTCACATCATACACAAATCTCAAAACAGATTAGAGACTAAATGTAAGGCCTAAAAGGGTAGAACTACTATAAGAACAACTGTAAGAGCAAAATAAAAGATAATAGGAAACAGAGAGAAAGCTTTTGCAAATGAGAAGGAAACAAAGAGATAGAAGGAGAAAGAAAAGGAAAGTAAAAATAATAAAAAGTGTTATATACATACATGAACTCCCCATGGTGAATATAATTATTATATACTGTATACATATTACTAATAAAAAAACTAAGCATAGACCAAAAAAAACCCACACAAAATGTGATACAGATAGATAAATACACATACTCATAAGACGTTACTATTCATCCTTCAAAAGGAAGGAAACCTAGATGGTGACATTTGTACTGCTGACATTGGTCAGTTTTGAAGACATGATTGAATCTGGAGGAGATTATCTAAGGGAGCTAAGCCATGTACAGAAGGACAGATACTTTGTGATCTCACTTACATGTGGAATCTAAAAAAGTGGAACTCATAGGAGCAGAGAACAGTGGCTGCCAGAGGCTGGAGGGTGAGGAGAATAAATGTTGGTCAAAATGTACTGTGTTTCAGTTATGCACTTCAAGTAAGTCCTGGAGATGTATACCACGGTAAGTACAGTTAATATTACTGTCTCATGAACTGGGCAGGAGAATCACCACAAGTTCAAGGCCCCCTGGGTAATAGTGAATGCAAGGCTTGTTTGAACTACACAGTAAGACTCTGTTTCAAACAACCAAACACTAAAGAATAAATAATACTTTGTATTGTATACCTGAAAGTTACACAGAGAGATCTTAAAAACAAACATATGTGCACAGAAACAACCATGTGAGAAAACAGATGCTAAGTAGCTTGATGGTGGCACTGTGATCATACACTGCTTGAGTAGAGTCCACACTGATAAGACATTAACTTCTACATTTTCAAAACTTGAGTCCTGTCTGTGTTTGATCTAAAAAAACTGATTTTTTAAATTTTTTTTAAAAAAATTATGTATTTCGTACAGGGTCTTACTACACAGCTCCGACTCATAGTGATCCTCCTGTTTCAGCCTCCCCAGCACTGGGATTACAAGTGTGCACCACCATGTCTGGTCTCTGGTCTCGCTGGCCCAAACCCTCTGGGGTGTGTGTGTGTGTGTGTGTGTGTGTGTGTGCATGTGTGTCCAGCTTAACCTGCCCTGGGGCCAGTTCTGGTGGGGCATGTGGTGTCTGGGATTGAACTGTGGTCCCTGTGCTTTGCCTAAGTTTGCCTAAGCGGGTGCTTAAACCGCTGCATTAGCTCACCAGCCCCCCAAAAACTCTGATTTTTATGGTCTACTGAAAAGTAAGTCTTCCATGATCTTCCTATTCGAAGCATGGCATGAAAACTGAGAATGGCAGAACCTTAGAGCTGGCTGGAAGTGCAGAAAGAGCAAGCAAGTCAGAATGTTCCCAGGCAACAAAGAAAAAAAGGGGCCTAGAGACTTGGTGGAAAAGTAAAATTTCCACAGCGGAAAGCATCTGTATTGTACAACACTGTAGCTCAGTAGCAGGCAGGTGCCTGAGCAGTCCAAGTGCACCTAGTATATGATTCCCCAACGGCATCTTCTTTCACACCAGTGGGAGCTCTCCCTCCTCAGGGGGCGCTCAGTGCCTACCTTCATTACACTGCAGTCCCTTCCAGCCTGTGGCACAGGAGCACCCATAGGGGTCTGGGAGACAGAAGACATAAGACTTGCATCCCTGTGGTCCAATACAGCTTTCTTTACAAGTTCTGCCAAATGTGTGCAGCTCACATGCTTTGGGAGGGGAAAAAAGCAGATTCAGAGTCAAATTGCAACCCACTGAAATGCATTATTTTTCTTTTAAAGAATCTCTTCTATGCTAGTGAACGGATTAATTTCAGCATGGCATGGGCAGGCAGAAAACATCCTTGTGGGGCTGGCAAGATAGCTCAGTGGACAAGCACCTGCTTAGGCAGGCCAGGGACTGGGGTTTGGTCCTGGCACCATGGGCCATGCTGGCCCCGCCCCCAGGCATGCTGAGCCAGCCACAGAGACCAGGCATGGTGGTGCACGCCTGTAATCACAGTGTTGGGAAAGCTGAAACAGGAGGATCACTAGGAGTCTGAGTGTGTAGTGAGACCTTGTACCATGAAAGAAAGAAAGAAAGAAAGAAAGAAAGAAAGAAAGAAAGAAAGAAAGAAAGAAAGAAAGAGAGAAAGAATCAGTTGGGGTCAAAGCCCCTGTATCAGGAGACCAAGTAGCTATATAATTATCTTTCTCTGTGAGAATGGTAAGGCCCTGTGGATGTTCTAAAATGAAGTGCATGAAATTTTAAAATCTGTTAAAATCAAGTTTCTTACCATTCTCACTCTGATGGAAATTTAAAAATCAGCAATAAAAGGAAAGGAAGAAGGAAGGAAGGAAGGAAGGAAGGAAGGAAGGAAGGAAGGAAGGA